TCCAGAGCCCCCCCCCCCCGCCCCGCGACCTGTACCTGGCTCCATAACTGCTGCGGGGCTGTCGGTCCTCTGGCGAGAGTGGAAGGTTCACTTCGCTTTTCCGGCCCTCGGAGCCAGGAGGGGGGGGGGATCTCTTAAAGAGACAGGAAGAAGAGATTGGATTTATACCCCATGGCCCTTCACTACCCGAAGGAGTCTCAGAGCGGCTCACAAACTCCTTTCCCTTCCCCTCCCCACAACAGACACCACCTGGGAGGTAGGTGGGGCTGAGAGAGCTCTTGACAGAAATGCCTCTTTTGCAAGGACAGCTGTGCCAGAGCTTGTGATGACCCAAGGTCATCCAGCCAGCTGCAAGTGGAGGAGTGGGGAATCAAACCCGGTTCTCCCAGATTACAGTCCGTGCACTTAACCACGACACCAAACTCAGGAGCCTCAGGAAGGGCTGCCGAAGGGGGAGTCATTCTCATGCATCCATCACCTCCCAATAGAACAATCATCTAGCATTATTCATTCACATCTCTGCAAGTCTAGTGCGTGGTGATCAACGTTCCCTGTAAGCTGTGGAGGGCTCTTTTTGTAGAAAAAGCCCAGCAGGAACTCATTAGCATAATAGGCCACACCCAACAGCAGAACCACACCCCTGACAGCACAGCTCATTAGCACATTAGGCCACACCCCCATGTCACCAAAAGTGTGGTCATCCAGCCACACTCACCTTTCCCTTCTTATTCTGTTTACCTTGTTTGTTGTCAAAACCCAGGGCCTTTTTTTGGAGCAGGCCACACCCCCCTAATGTAGCCAATCCTAATGAGTTTCTGCTATTTTTGGTACTGATTTAAAACAAACAACAACAACAACAAAACAACCCCTCTCTGATCTTTTCCTTGTTGGATTACTAAGCATGCTACAAAAGACGGGTATAACCCCTTGTTTTATTTTGGGCACTTACATGGTGCTTCATTTATGATAGGGTTCTAATTTATCCCCTCTCCATGCATGAAATCTAAAAAGGTGATGTCCTGCTGGAATCCCCTACCAAGGGTGGTCTCTCACTCCTCATGTAATGCATGGGCAGCATCCTCACACAATCCATCCTTGTGGGTCGGTTGGTGCTATCACACTGTCTCTGAGTGCACAGCCTTTCATTACCACTCTCTGCATGATGGCTCTTTTCAAAAGAGTGCTCTCTTTTCTTTACCACATTCCCACGTGTATGTTGGTGGGGGCACTTGCACAGAGCTTGCTGCTCTGGTACAGGAGAGTTCTGGGTGAAGGTCAATTTGTGCCGCTAAACAACCCTTGATAAAAGCGGCCCTCGGTGGTCTCCTTCTGAGAGTTTCACACCCACCTCCTTCACTCAGTGATCTTGCTAATCTTCCCATGTGGGACTGCACAGAAGCCACGATGATGAAAACAAGGTTGCACTTACCTGTAACTGTTGTTCATCGAGTGGTCTTCTGTGCAGGCACACATCCCTCCCTCCTGCCCCGCTGTGAACTCTCTGGAACTTTAGTTTTCTAGGGGTCTCCGGTGGCGGCATGGAGAGAACTGAGGGAGTAGTGCCCCTCCTCCTGGTCATGTGAGCGTTTTGGCGGGAAAGCGCCAGAGGGAGGAGGGGCACTCCTAGTCTATTAGAAAGCTTGCAAATCTTTTCCGTGGCTGGCCTGCGCCTGCGCAGATCCC